GGTGTCATCTGCAAATTTCACAAAGATGTTGCTGTGGTGGCGAGGAGTGCAGTCGTGTGTGTAGAGAGAGTAGAGCAGTGGACTGAGCACACAGCCCTGGGGTGAGCCAGTGCTGAGACTCAGGGCTGAGGATGTGTGATGGCCAACTCTGACTCTCTGTCTACGGCCCGAGAGGAAGCTGTTGATCCACATTAGTTAAAGTTTAAAAAGATCTCAAATAAATAAAATACACTTCAGCTAAATACTTCTAATTTATTTTCCCCAAGCCACGCGGAGCCGCACTATACGGACTAAAGAGCCGCAGGTTACCGACCCCTGCCCTAAAGCATGGGCCAAAAATAACAGTTCATCCAAGATTCCATTTGAGGCTGGCTTAAAAGTGAGCAAGTCACCATACACAACAGTTTATGAACATAGCTAACCAGTGTTAGCTGATTATTTAGCATAATTTAGTAATTTCTGTCCTCAAAATACTAAAACCGATGCTTTGAAACTGGCAGCCAGAGGGGATGTCACAGTGGCTACATCTATATTTTATTACAGTCTGTGCTTGTGTGTTTTTTGGTGGCTTTTAAACATCTGTTACTTGTAGCAGATCACCCAGTACAGATGTTACGGTCTAGTTTTATACTTCCAGTCATTGGCCACTTGTTTTGTCCACAGGCCAAACTGAAGGATCTTTAAACATTACCGCTTTCACCAGACTAGCATGCCTCAGCTAACAATTACAGCTTCACAAGGATATCATCAGATGGAACAACGATATGATGCTGTGGATGTTTACATCGCAGTTTCCGTCTTGATTTCAGGCTCGCTCCTCCCTTACCATCCAGTAAACCTGGCTCACAGTGAATGTAGAAACGTGTCTAACTTGAAGCTTGAGGTGTCTGTGATGTGTTATTTGCAGTGGACCTTCAGTGGCCTCTCAAATTAGAGGATTGGATTGGTGTGATGAGACCTTGCGCCCTGTGTTGCCTATTAGGGTTTAAAATATTCTCGCCGATCTGCCTCGACTGTGGACCCATCCTGCTGTGATCCAATAAACCCACTTTCTTACCAACTGACATTAGATTAAGTCAGATTTGCTTATTTTAAAAGCCATCATGCCTCTGGAGGATTAGAATAATCAACACGGCACATGATTCAATGCAGTGCACACAGATGAAGAGAGCAGGATATAGATTCTGTAGCTATTCAGCAAATGAGAAGCAGAAAACATGCAAGGGGTTTCCTCTGATGTGAAGTTTAATCCTAAACTTAAATGTAAACTTCACAGATGTTTTACGGAATGTTTTATAGTCTTTCAACTCGTCGTCATCAGCAACCTTTTTTCCAAGCACTCAGGAGGCTGACTTCCTGCTCTTTACAGCCTGTGGAAACAGACAGCAGACACACAGTGAGGAAGTAAATAGTGAGCACAGGGAAGGGCAGGTGTAATACCTGTTCCAGGTTGCTGGAAACACAAGCTTAACATAACTTTTGTCATAATATTTTGATGTACCTTCATATTTTTAGGGAGTTTGATAGCACCCCATCTAACATATTTTTTAGCTGCTCTTTGTAACTAAATTGTTCAGTAACATCAGGCTGTCATCATCCTTAATTTGAACTTTATGTACATCCATAAATCAGTGCTTTCTGGCTGAATTAAGGGTGATGGAGACAGTTTTTGAATTTAAGCTTTCTTACTATTTGTTTAAGCAAAAACAGCCCAGTGTATGTTTCTGTTACCCACCCATGTGAGGAGGAATACAGCTTATAACTTATTTTAAGCAGGTGTGGTTTACCCGTCTGTGTTATGAAAGTTACTTACTCTAAAGTAAGAAAGGTTAGAATGTGAAACTGTTCATTAATGCATAAAGCTGAGCTAAAGACCTAAAGACCTTTTTGACCTGACTTTTATTAGAATTAATATTAATTCTGCTCATACTTTTTACCTTTTTTAAATTACTTATTGTACTTTTTAATCCTCTCAATTATTGTTCTTTTAATTTTTTTTAT